ATCATAAATAGGTAAAAATGACCTCAGATGCATTTTTAGAGTTTTGGAAAAAATTCTTTTTATGCATTTTCATTCATCATTTTTTTCCCACTGTCATCCTAGTTTGATCGTAAATTTTCCAACTTAAGAGCGTTGGAAAATCCAGGCATTCGAAGGGTGTCCAGGCATTGGGAGGGTCACCCCCGATTTTTGGTAAAGGGGAAGGAAGTTTTCAGGATCCGCTGTCATGGTTTCAAGACTCGATGTATATTTTAAATCTGGCAGGAGTAAAGCGAAATAATACTAGGTTAAGTTTACTGCTAGGAAGTCTGGGTGAAAAATACCAGGGAAATTTGATAAAAACACTTAAAAACAGACCAAATGCTACACCTGAGGATTTAAGGGACGCACTTATTCACTTGATAAATTACAATAGATCATTTTTGGAGAAGAAACTGGAGGATTATACGCTCACTAGGGATAGGCAATTACTTGACCAGTATTTCGAGATCGAAAACCTGATCAAACTTGGTAATAAGAATTTGTCGAAGGAAATATTGGAGGCCATATTGAAGCGCGAGTTTATCAAGAAACTACCCAATGGCATAAAGAACGAGCCGTTGTTTGACCTGATCATTGCTGGTAAAAGTGGGCAAGAGGTCGTTCAAATTGCCCAACAAATTTTAGACTCATAAGTGGCAAGCGAGGCAGACGTTTCGGTTAATGCTTTTCATCACGGGAAAAATTTTTCGAAAGATAAAAATTACGGTCGAGAAGGAAAAAAGCAAAAGCAAGGTTACAGATTGGAAGGAAAATCTTGCTTTATTTGTGGTTTGAAAAACCACCTATCTACGGAATGTAGGCGGAGAAAGTATTTTGGGAAGGACCAGTGCTGGCTCTGCGGAAGCCGTTCGCATCGTTCATTAGATTGTAGATCTAGAGATAGTAAACAAAACTTTAGGCGAGACGGTGAAAAGAGGAAAAATCGACCACCGCCGGATTACGTTTGTAAAATCTGCAACAGATCCGGTCATTGGATTTATGACTGCGAGGAGAAAGATAAAAAATGAATTCGTTACCGACGGCCTCTATCATTTTTAAACAGTACCAAAAACGAGGAAAGAAATCAATAGGAATAGAAAAAGAAGTAGAGAATTTTTTGTTAGACACAGGAAGTCAAAAATCATTTATTCATAAAAAATTTTAAGAAGGATCAGGGTTTAAAATTAAGAATATACCAGAAATATTTTTGTCAAATGCGGCGAATAGTAGAATGGGTACCATAGATAAGGTTTTAGAGGCGAATATAATTGTGAACGGGAAAGAATATACAAATAGAGATTTTTATGTTTTGGAAGAGCCCCTTAACTTCTCAATACACGGGCGGGCGACTAAGCGCTCAAAACACGGGGTCGGGAAAACCGACCACCAAGTATTATTCAGCCCGCGCGGCGCGCCAAATTCGGAGTGTGAAAAACAGCGCCGACTATTTTGATCTCTCATTCATTTTTCCGTCGATTTAATAAGTTTTAAACTCTACTGTTAGAAAGCCTGAACACTCAGCTATTTACTCATGTTATTATCAAGGAGAAAAAACCTTCCAATTTTTCGATAATGAGCTCGAAAGAGATCTGGTGCAAAGCGCAATCCCTCTTGAAAAATTTCACGAAACTTCGCAGAGTGGTTCGGTTTGTTCATATAAGTGCACATTGCAAAAATCAGGTCAAACGGATTACCACCTTCGAAGTTATTGAGGGCCAAAGTCGCCGTGGTCGGTTTTACCGACCACGTGTATTGAGAAGTTAATTTTTCGGGCATTCTCGGTTTGGACTTTCTTCATTTGCTCGACTTAAGGTCGTTTGATACGGGCAAGAGAACTTTTGAAATAAATATTTGTGAAAATGAGGAAAGTGAGGAGGTCGAAATAAAGGTTCTTACATTGGTTAAGGATACAAGAGAGGGGTCAGTTAATATTTTGGAAGACATTACAATTTATCCATTTGATTTTTATGGGTGGAGGTCGAAAAATTTGAACAAAATGCGAAAATAAAAACCTCCGAACATTTAATTAACAATGGAGTTAGAATTGATGATTATTTTACGAAGGAAAACTGGAACAGGATAAAACTGGAAAATCTAACTGGCTCAATTATAACAATAAATAAAGGTACAACAATTGGATATAAATTAGGTCTTTTCGAAGTAAATTGCTTGGTGGAAACACAAAATGTTGATAATTTTGACCAGATTGTTCACAAGAAAGAACTTGAGAAATGAAAAGGAAAATAGAGAAAAACTCATCGAATCGGTTTCGGTGAAGAGAAAATAATTAAAAAAGCAAAAGAGGCGCCAGATAAATATTCAGGGGCACTGGAAAGCCTTTTTAATGAGGAGGATTTTCTGTGGTCACGGACAAGTAATGACTGCGGATATAGTCCAAACTTTCTGGCGGATTTGCGAATTAAAGACCCGGAGAGAGGCCCCACTTTTGCACGACCGTATAACATCGATTCGTGTATGATAAATAAGGTTCAGGAAAAGCTAGATAATATGATAGAAGGAGTAGGTACTTTAGAGGAGAGTAATAGTGGTTGTAATAGTCCGTTGCTGGTTGTAGAAAAGGCAGACGGAGGGAATTTTATTTCAGACCTTGAGCATAAAAGAAATGCGTATTACACTGTGAGCATAAGGGACTCGTCAAGGGAACTTACTTCCTTTATTTTTGGCGACAGGGCATACAAGTATAAAAACTGAGTCAGGGATTAAGTGCAAGTCCCTCGATTTTTCAAAAATTTATTTCACAGATATTGAAAAGGGCCGAAGGATCAGGACAATTTTTTCACTTCTTAAGTTATATGGATGACATCTGGTATGTCGCATGCGGTGAAAAATTTGTTGAGGCTACACGTAATCTGTTAACGGCGCTGAAAAGCGAAAATTGTGTTTTAGGATTACAAAAATGTTCATTTTTTAAAAAGGAACTCAAATTTTTAGGATTTTTAATCTCTCTGGATAAAATCCGGGCAGACCAAAAGAAAGTCGAAGGAATATTAAAACTGCAAATGCCTACTACTGCAAAAGAGGAACAAAAATTTCTTGGCTCTCTAAATTTTTATAACAGGTTTATTAGAGGACTGGGAGAATTGACTTCTAGGCTATCTAAGGAAATAGGTAAAAATAAAGAGTTTAAATTAAGGAGATTGAAAATGATATTTTGGAGATTAAAAGGAAAGTAAAAGAAAATGGTATTGAGCTTGATCACCTTGATAACACGTGTTATCGAGTTTTATTTGTTGCCACTGACAGTGGCTTAACGGCTTCGGGTGCGGCAATAGGTACATGTGTTTATAAGGATGGAGAAATTATGAGCGTAAAAATCGCTGGATTCGCGAGAAGGAAATTAACCGAAAATGAAAGTCTCCTCGGGTCCCGGAGTAGAGAACTATTAGGCCTTGCTTTTGGTTTCGAAACTTTCCAAGACCTTTTACAGCGGTCGGAAGACGTCTTAGGAATAGTGGACCATAAGTCTCTCACGAAAATTTAAACAACTTTCAATATTAAAACTTTTGGGAAAACCCGGTGCAGGAAAGCTTTTGCTACCCTTCTTGATTTTCCAAGGCTCAAAATAGTTTATGCGCTCGCTACAAGTGAGGTGATAAGTTGTGTTGATTATTTAAGCAGGTTTTCAAGATTTGATGTAGAAGAATTCGAAACAGTCAATTTTCGGCCGAAATTGGCGGAGCAGGAAACTAACACGAATAATCTGAACGTAAGTATAATTGGAAGGTATACCCTTAAAATAGAGGAAAAGGAGATTTTGAAAGATTGGTTGAAAGGCTTCATAAAATGATCAAATCAAAAGTTAGGATAACAGACTTAAAATCTAGGAATTTGGAAGTAAAATAAGCGCTAGTAATTAATGCGTTAAATCACACACCGAGACAGGAGCTATCAGGGGCTAGGGTTCGCAATGAAAAATTTTTTTGGCTACAAAAATGGCCTCAAAATTGTTTTTTATTGAAAATTAGAATAGAAACTTAATCATTCTGAATCTAAATTTAAAATTAAAATTGAAAAAAAATTATCGGAAAACAGGTTTTCACCCATCAAAATAGATAAAAGTGACGATTTCTCGCCACTAGATGGCTCCCCACCTACGAAAATTGTCAAAATATTCTTGAGAATATACAAAAACATAAGGCATATTTTTTTTTTCATTGATCATTTTGCGTAGGTGGGAAAGCAAATTGAAAAATATAATTATGATTCAGGAAAGATGACGTGGCCTTCATCAAATGCTGACATAGTCTGACAAATAAAAAAAGATTGATAACTCGATAATTATTAATACAAATATGGAAAAATGATTAAAAAATTTATCAACTGTACATTTAAAATAAAATAAACAAACAAAAAACAAACATGATAAAAATTTCAATATGAAAATGTCGATGAGATTGTCGACCTTTTCGTTGATGCCACAAATTATCTTTTGGTTAAAGAATTGATTAAACCCTAACATTTCATCCCTCGAAAAATCCACGAACATATAAAAAGCAATTTCAAATATGCTCATATCAGTATCGAGCCTCCCGATCTACGCGCGTTATCAATAATGCCAGAGTTTTTCCTCATTTAAAAAATTTGATTGGTACATTCTCTTGAAACTCTTAAAAACTTTGATAAAATCTTATTGTAAATTTAGTGAATGCCTTAAATGAGCGCTACTGTCTGCGATTTTTATCTCAAATAACGAAGGACACTCTTGCCAATCTTGCGCAGTGCTTCGGGCATCGAGCGCATACATCGGGTGGCTATCATCAGGAGGACTTCCAAGTCGAACTATCTGCTCTTCTTGAAGAGCACAACCTGCCAGCTCATAAAAGATTCCAATTCAATTATGGCAATCGATTTTCGGTAGGACAGATAATTTTCTCATGAGTCTACACTTAAAATAGGCGCCTTTTGTGAATGCAATTGCTGTTTTCGAAATCTTAACAGAAGTAAGAGAAGTGGCTTCGATGAAATCAACAGGTCGCCTTTATCAAATAAAGAAGGCCTTAGCATCAAGAGAAGTTCTTTTGGAGCTTTCGTTGTTGGTTATCGTTTATGTTTCGATTGCGATGCCCTTCTTCAACAAATGTCGCAATAAAAATGGAATCACCTACGCTGATGGAAAGGTTTATTGATCAAAGTAACCACAAAGATATCAAATCGTTCAGAAAGCATTCGAAGGAGTCTTGGCGGCTATCGACGATCCACTTCGCATTCCAGAAAACGCGTACAACAGACTTTGGCATCGAAGTCGAAACACTCGCCTTGAAGAAAATGAAGAAATCGCCTTTGGATGCATTGAAGATGAACTTGTCACAAAGATTATGCATACAAAGGCATTTCCAGCGATGACGAAAAGAATCAACACGCTCACAGTAACGATATTGACCGAGATGAGACGACAATTTAAAAAGGACAACGACCTTTTTTTGGAGATAAACTTCAAAGAAGATGAAAAGATGGTCATGAGCAATCATCAGCTCGAAAGGTAAAATAATTCGAATTGAAAATGATTTATTTTTTTCTAGTGTTTTTGGTGAGCTGAAATACGCTTTGACAAAAACGCAGAATTGCGATGGAGAAAGAATCAATCAAGTTGTCTGCGCAAAGACAAATTCACTGATTGCTTGGCTTAGAAAATTGGGTAAAGAAAAGAGAGACAAACTTTGGAGTGAAGCAAGAAAAAAACGAAAAAGAATAACGGATGAAATAAGAGATGGAAAGAAAAAAGCTAAACGACAAAGACTTGAAGATGCTCGAAGATAAAAAAGATTTCTGACTAACAAATGATATCTTTATTTGTGCATAATAAACTTCAACGTCCAGAAGGGATGATAAATCAGAACTATAGAATATCTTTATAATGTTAATTGCACCATATTAAAATGTCGCGGATAAAATAAGGCATACTTAACCCTATGCGTGACGCGGATGCACTCAGTGCATCCGGACATGGTTTTCAGGCCGTATCTCTCTTCATTTTTGTCCAAATTCAAAAATTAAAAAAAAATAAGAATCTTCGTCATTTTTTACGTCTCATTAATAGTTTCATTTTTCTTTTTTAGTTTTTATGTTCCTACAATTCCGTAAAAATGCGTCAAATTTACGATTTCTGTCTCGAGATTGCCATGTTACATCATTTTTGTCTAGAGTAGGGCTCGCCAAAAAAAAGTCGAGGTCGATTCTCCCCTACGAATTATGCCTTAAAATGATCCCCGTTCTTTCCTGATTCGAATGATATGTCAATGTCAGTCGTAAGTCTTGGGGAAAAAATTCTAGAGCTAGGCCGAAGTTCCAGTTTTCGGGACTTCAAGCACGTGCTATGACGTCATTTTTCGGAAATTTCATTTTTTTTTTATTTTTCTAGCGTAACTTTTTCTGCTCTTTTCAATTAACTAATTAAGTTTCTTTTAGAGGTAAAATCAGGATTTCACCCAAAATTTTTTTCTCAAAATCCTTGAAATTCACCATTTTTCTGCCTCGTTTCAACCTATAAAAGCTCTAATATCTCGAGTTCCCCATGCTTTCCCGAGCCGGAAAGGTACTATAAAGAAGCGTAATGCTCTATTCTATGAGAGTTTTCTATCAGATCTGGGGAGAATCGAAGCAAACTACCGAAAAAAATGAATGATTGGGAAAAAGTACGTCAATTTTTGATTTTTTCTCAAAAAAGACCATTTTTTTCAATAAAAATTCTTAGATAGAACCGAAACCAACACTGCATATTAAAGCTCATACTCTCAGCTTTATGTCTATATCAAATATAAATAGTTTTGAGAGGTTTTGATTGTTAATTTTTTCGGTTAAGCGATCAGACCCCGAAAAAGGGCCATTTTTATCGAAAATTCGCTCTAAAATTTTTTTGGCTGGGTTTCAGGGTGTGGTTATATGGGGAGTTTTGGGTTTTAGGACATGGGGAATCAGAAAAACATACTCGTTCGCGGCTTCAAAATTTCATGGCGAGCCCTAGTCTAGAGAATCCGCTATTTTTCTGGTCTCTCAGACTGATCAATAGATTTTCGCCATGCATATGAATTGAAATGGAATATGAAATACGAATAATTATTATTATTCAAATAATAATTGAGATTGAAATGAATTTTTTTCAAAGAAATTTATTAAATGAAAGTGATAAATTATAAAATGAAGTGATAAATTATATTTAAAGACACAAGGAGAAAATGAACGCTCGGCCAAAAGCCTTGCGATGGTCAGTGCAGGCGGGTTTGAAGCATTTTGCACAAGAAATAGTTGTTTGTTTGGCTCCTTGTGTCTTTTTTGGACAAACTTTACATAAAACGCGGTTGTGAACGGGGCTTATAATAATCATTTTCTTTTGCGGTGGTTGATCAGAGTTAGAAGAAAGGGATGAAGCAACATTTTGAATTTCAAGCAATGGAAGCGGATTAGAAATAAGGGGTGATGGAAGCTTTTGGCCTATCAATTCATGCATAAGAGTGAGGAGAAACTGGCGATGATTGTTTTTTTTTGATTTTTGTTTTTGTTCGGATGAGATTTTTTTTGTAAAGCACAAATACATTGTGCAGTAACTGATCGATTAGATTTGTTGTAAATTTTTTTGCAAAATGCGTGTATTTTTTTTCGACATTTTTTGAATCAAAGCCAATAGTAAATTTTTGAAGGGATTGATCAATGCCATCAGAATTAGAGTTCGCGAAAAAATGAACAAGTAAAATTTGCCATGGCAAGTTATAGAAATGGCAAGTTCTGGCAAGAAAATTTCAAGTAATTTGCTAGTTACTAACACGAGCGGAGTTTCAGATCTGCTCCGATAAGTCTTTGAGTAGTTTTTCAACCTCTGACCGACTGCTTATTCGATGTTTTTGCGAACCCTACACAACACCCCCCATCGTCTTATTATATAATAAGACAATGGGTGGCTTTTCGTTTGATTTCAGCTCCAGAGTACAATGAGGAAGATCTGAAAAAGCAGAAAGCTCGTCCCAGGCATTTGATATCAGGACAACGGGCTTTTTATTCATCTTGTCCACATAAGCTCCGATGTCAAGTGATGTTTGATGTAGAGACGCGCGAAAAACAATGATGCTCCGCTTGAAATTTTTCTTGTCAAATTTTTGAAAGAAAACTTCTGGAACATTATTTCTCCCTCCAAAAAAATTGGCCAGGCGAGATCGTCTGCATGTTGCAACGAATTTCATTCGCATTTGAGTCAGAGCTAACAAGGGTAAAAACTATTATGGTTTAGGGTTAGGGGCAGCTCGAATGATAACCCCCTACTACCACCCTTTTCGGGTATAAAATAAATAAGTTCTAACCCATAACTTCTACTGACTCTCGCGAGATGAAAAAATTGTCGCAAGCGACCATCAAACCAAGACCTTTGCACCGGCTCGGAATGATTTTCACGAAAAGTTCGGACAGGCTTTTGTAGAGCTTGTTGTTGGAATCAAGATCAGGGATAGTGGATAAAATACATCCATCTGGGCCAGACAACATTTGGACTTGATGCCCGTATCGCGCTGGTCTGGGCTCCGTATCCGATTATGTGTAGGTGTAATGGTAGAAAATTGGACCCCATGATCGCCTTTTTAAAACTTCATTTATGATGCAGAATTAGACTCGCTAGGTCGCGGCGATCATTTTGATACCAAGATCATCGGAATCAGACTTGATTTTCGACCGACAATGAGCATCTGAAGTCCCAAAATAAGCGCTAGAAATTTCAGAGCGCCCGAAAGGGATGAATACTCCATCCAATCACTTAACCCATAGTCCCAGTTTGTAGAGCAGGTTCTATTCTACCAGAATCAATTCACAGAAATTGTGAACAGGGAGTCTACTACTAGTGAGGACGAGCGCCGAAAGAAGCCGAAAAAATGGGGGAAAATCAACGCCGAATTTGGTTTCCGAGAACTCGCACTAACGATTTCGCCTCGATTTTGCACCTTTTTGGGGGCCTCTAGCAAAAGGCTCTTACGCGATAAAATTGCGGATTGGCAGAAGTGTCGATAGTCGATTGAGATCAAAAGCTCTTTAATTCCTTACTACTGAAATGCGTCTGCATAAGCTCATAACGCATTTTTACTAATCAACCGTCATTCTTTTTTTATTTTCATTTTGGGTTTGGAAATTTTTAATCCTATTTGACTTGACACTGCTCAATTTTGCTTGTAACGCGTCAGGGGGTTAATCACTTTGCTAGTTTGTCTCTCGAAGACAAGAAATAGAAACTAACGGTCTTGATCGAAAAAAGAAGAAATTTTTACTTGAAAGCCTACTGATACAGTATTCAATTGCGCTTGAGTAATCAATAGCTGCATTTGAGAAAACAAGTCTGAAAAGGGCGGAACCACAAAAACAGGGCTGGTGATAGCGGTGTCTAGTCAGATAGAGTTGATAAAGAACTCTGCCGTTTCCGAAATGACCACGATACAATTGATCAGCACTCTTTTCGCCATTTTGAATAATCGACGTCATGGCTAATAACTTATCTCCAAATTCTGGTCATAGACCTTTTCAAATGGCAGTGAAAAAACACTCAGAGTGAATTTTTGGGTGTGACGAGGGCATTTGCCGGGGAGCGAAAAATGTCATTATTGGTTTTTCGAGTAAATACGTTTCTATGACAGTTGTTGATTGTTCTGCTGTGCCAAAAATTCAAATTTTATAATCGGCGAATGCGGAGCCCAGTAGCGGGTTTGGCGGGGTTATATTTTTGGCAGGGATCTTTTCCTCCAAATGATCGTCTTGCAAAAGAGTGTCAATTTTGCCACTAAGCTAATTGTTTTCAAAGTTGAATGAGTTCTTATGTATGTGCGAGTTGCTTTTAGTATCCAAAATTGACACTCTGCGGAGACTCTCATCAAGAGACATACTTTTATATCCCCAATTCCAGCTGCAATAATTCGCAGATATGCTGTTGAGAAGAGAAATGTAAGGCCATATTTTTTTGGAGGTTGAAATATGTCTGTGTTCCTCTCCAGGATATAAGACAATTAGAGATTCTCAAGGGATTTTTTGAGAGAAACGAGAACGTTTTTGTATATACTAGCAAACATCATATACAGTAGACTTCCTCAATTAATAAGCCTTTGAGAATCCCTATATATATTCATCTTCCCCACAATCCAAACACGTTCGGAACATTCGGAAGCGACGCAATGAAAGAAGATTGAGTGTTTCAAGATTTCGATGATTTTTGACTGCTTCTTCCCAAAATTCGGCGATGGGTTTGTTATTTGATTTTTCAAGGCCAGAATATAAAAGCATTCCAAAAGCAGTCAAAAGCTCATCGAAAGATAGCTCTCTTTCCATTGGAAATCGTCGACGCATGTTCTGGTTAGTTTTTTTGAGAATCGGGTCGAAAAATCGATGTAGTCCATATATCTTATCAAGCAAAAGTCGAGGGGACGTAAAATATTGGGAAGGAATCATTCGTGTTTTGGGAGGAAGTTTCCGCGGAATAAATTGAGAAGACATTGGGCGTTTTAGTTCCGAAAATTGCAAAGGCGGAAATTTTGAACCTGTTTTTGAAGCATCAACCGTTTTTTGAAACTCTTCGTACTCCGCCTGAGTCGCAAAACAAACACATTCTTCATCATCTTCTTCTTCTTCGCTGGAGTCCCCAAAGTCAATATCTGAGTTGTTCTCTGCATCAGAAAGTATGTCAACTTCTGTCAAAAGTGCTGACTCGTCTTCCATCAAAGTGCTCTTATTTTATCATATAAAATATTATTGTATATCATTAATTCCACCTGTAACGACATCAACGAAAAGTAAAACTC